AGTGGGCCCAGTATAGGGATAGTTATAGGGGAACTTTTTCCTTGCAAAATAGGTGGGAAGAAAACTTTATGGGTTGGGAATTGTGTCAAGGAAAATAAAGGTTGAAAGTGCCACTTTTACCCTCATTTTGTTGTCTTAATGTGTGAAAATACGTAAATAACCTTGTAAGGCGGAAAGTTTAGAGAACTGTAGGGGGGAAAGTTTTCCTCCAACCAAACACCTCCTTTGAGTGATATTACTAATGATATTGGAGAAGAGAGAAGGTTTGGAAAAAAAAAATAGTCTGAAATATGATGGCTGTTAAAAATATTTAGACCAAGGGTAACCAAATCATGAAAACCATCATACCTTACTGCTTAAAAAGGAAGGGAAGGTAGAGAGAGATGGAAAATGAGAGGGCAGTGGTGGTTTGTGAGAGAGAATCAGATTGTTTCCACTTTCAACATTGCTGACTGGTGCCAATGTGCTTTCTTCAGTGGCACTTGGTTAAAAATGAAAGAGGAGGTAGTGGGAAAAGGCGAAGGTAAAGGACCTGTGTGCACTATCCTAGATTCAAATCATTTGTTGAGTCTTTTAGTTTTGCCTTGCTGCAATAGAAATATTAGTTTTTTTCAGTTCAGGAAATTGACAAAAGTGAAATATGGTTGTTACCCCACTTCACATTTTTGATCCATGTTGATCAGTTCCTGGTCAATCTGAATTTTCATCTACTGAATTAAATTTTTTGATAGCCCTTAAAATGTATTATCTATTCTGATAGTCAAGATATGATATTATGTAATTAACTGGCTATTTTTCATGCAGGTCGTGCTGTCATTAATGCTGCAGAAAATGGTGCACCATTCCCACTTAAAAAAAGAGATCAGCTACTTGATTATATATTAACTTTGATGGGCCATGATGAGAATGATGGTTTGGCTGATTCCAGTCTTGAACTACTGCACACTCAAGTGAGTTAATTGCTTCTTATTATTACATTTCAAACTGGTAATATTTGTTTTCAATCAGCTTAGATCGAAAATTTTATGTTCCATTTTCATTTTATGGCTACTTGCTAGGCTCTTGCTTTAACTGCCTGCACTACATTGGTTTCTGTCGAGCCAAAGCTGACCATTGAAACGCGGAATCATGTTCTGAAGGTATTCTTTCAGCTTTGTTTGGTTACCAAGATAATAAATTTTGTTCCACAATCAATCTATTATCTTTGATTGTGATTTTTGGCAGGCTACCCTGGGTTTCTTTGCTTTGCCAAATGATCCAGCTGCTGTAGTCAACCCTCTTATAGATAACCTCATCACTCTCCTATGTGCTATTCTTCTTACGAGGTATTATCCTATTGGTAGATTTAATTTTCAAGAGAATTTTTTGTTATTAGTTTTTTTAACAATTTTAAAATGTCCATGGATTGATTGAAATATTGCAAAAATCAGTTTTCTTTTATGATGATGGTTATAACACTTTCCATTTTCACGGCTTATGCTTTCCTACCTTTGTCTTTTCCATGTAATTTTGCCTTCATATAGATAACTGACGATGCATGCAGATTTAGTCACTGAATAGAATTTCTTATGCTTGTTCTAACTGGAAATGTATTTAACAATTAGTGGAGAGGACGGAAGAAGCCGAGCTGAGCAGCTGTTGCATATCATGAGACAAGTTGATCAATATATGTCTTCACCGGTGGAATATCAAAGGAGAAGAGGCTGTCTTGCAGTGTATGAGATGCTTCTCAAGTTTCGAATGCTTTGTGTCAGTGGCTATTGTGCATTAGGTTGTCGTGGGAGTTGCACACATAGCAAGCAAATTGACCGTACTTTGCATGGGAATTTTTCCAATTTACCATGTAAGGATGTTTCCTCTAGCAGATCTTATCATCAGGTTCCCCAAAATGACATTGTTTTGTTTCCTGTTTTCAACCACCAGCGGCATATGTATTGCCAAGTCGTGAAGCTCTCTCTTTGGGAGATAGAGTAATAATTTATCTTCCACGCTGTGCTGACACTAATGCCGAAGTCAGAAAATTTTCTGCTCAGGTATTAACTATTAACTTAGTCAACAATTTTATACTCCTTGGTCTGGTTTTGTTTTTTTGGGTGGGGTAGGTACAAGTATATTTATTTATAACCTGCACAAGGAGTTGACCCTGGAACCTAATGGTTCTAGGGCCTCTGCTTTTATCACTGAACCAGGGCTTCATTGACATTCCTTGGTCAAAATAAATATGCTTGTACTAACTTGTCCATTAAAGTTGAAGTTTCCACTGCTTTATTTATTTTGTTTTGACCAGAATAGTCTCTATCTCTCTATCTCTCTCCCCCTCTCAAGCAGATTCTTGATCAACTGTTCAGCATCTCTCTTTCACTTCCAAGGCCTGTAGGTTCTAGTATTGGTGCAGATATAGAGTCGTTATACAGTGCCTTGTCCTCCCTTGAAGATGTAATAGCCATCTTGAGAAGTGTAAGTTTGTTTCTGTTCTGATAAATGTTGTCCATAAAATATGGCACATGCTATTAGGTTGCTCTTGTTTTCCTCACATCTTCTGTTTGAGGTATGAAAAGGGGAACTTATATGCCAGGGCAATCACTGTTTCTATTGGTTGTGTTCAGGATGCGTCAATTGATCCATCTGAGGTTTTTAACAGAATTGTTTCCTCAGTATGTATTCTTTTGACAAAAGATGAGGTAGGATTTATCTATTGGTTCATTCTTTTACCTTTTCTCTGGCTTGCTGTTTAAAACAGGGTTCATACTGAAGAAAATTAATTATTGTTGACTATTTATTGCAGCTTGTAGCTACACTTCATGGTTGCACGGCAGCAATTTGTGATCGAATCAAGCAGTCAGCTGAAGGAGCCATCCAAGCTGTCATTGAATTTGTTACAAAGAGAGGGACTGAGCTGATTGAAATGGATGTTTCAAGGTTCTTATAATAAACATGAGAACTTTCAAGTAGCTTTAGTTAGTTGATACACTCCTATGAAATGATAAATTTTAGGTTTCCTTTAGTCTGCTGATCATTATCTCTTCAGGACCACTCAATCTTTGCTCTCAGCTGCAGTTCATGTTACCGAGAAGCAATTGCGATTAGAAGTTCTTGGAGCTGCATCCTTTTCTAATTTATCTTGATTAGCTTGACTGTTCTAAAGAATTTATTGTTTGATTGCTTTTAACTGTACAATCAACCATGAGCTCCTTAGACTTTCTGTTTCTTCTGTATCATGATTAATATCCTTAATTGCCCGAAGATATCATGTCTAGCTGAAAATACGAACCCAAAAATTGTTTTTAATGAAGTATTAATAACTGCTGGAAGGGATATTGTCACAAAGGATATATCTAGATTACGTGGTGGCTGGTCAATGCAGGATGCATTCCATGTGAGTTTTCTTTGATCTTATCTGAAAATAATTGCTGCATTAATTTGGTTTCTTGTAAATTTTTATCACTGAAGTGTTGAAAGGGTACTAGTACAAGTTGGCTAGAATGGACAGCCCACAATAATCACAACACAGAATTAAGCGAATTAAGCACAAATGCCGCTATATTCTATTGTTTTGTAATTGTATCAAGCACTAGTGCCCTCAATTTTTGTAATACAGAGAATTTTTAGAATTTATTAGGATAGTTAGCCAAGTTTGGGGATCAAAAGATAAACAACACATATATTTGGAGAAATGATCAACTTGAGGGGTTGAAATATAATTATTGAGTCTTGTCCTTACCCAGGATCCAAATGAAGTCTATCTTCTGGCAAACAAGGGTAATGAAGGTCTTTTACTCTTGACTGGAAAGGAACAAGTCACGATGTGAACTATTCTGGTTTTATATTTAGGATTTTAGACCTTTCTTTTAATTATCTCTGTATTCCAGTCTATTAAGCATGTTGTTTCTGGTCTGCCACCAATATTTATGCACCTATATATATATATATATATATATGCATCGCTGTATTTTGTTCTGTGTTTTATGATCAGCTTTGTTCCTTTTTTATTGTTTTACTTATCTCTAATTTTGTTTATGTTTATCGAATAGTTTCTTCAATAATTTAACTGTTTGTGTTAATCTTAAATAGGCCTTTTCCCAACACATGGTGCTTTCAGTTTTGTTCCTAGAGCATCTCATTGCTGTCCTTAATCAGACTCCTCTTGTTAAAAGTGACTTGGAGAAGGGAGAAAACTCTGGTCTTCTTTCTGAAACTCCAATAGAGAAGGACATTCTGCAAGCTGCAATTTTTGCTCTCACTGCCTTTTTCAGGTATGGTTAAGCATTTGTGGTGTTATCATCTTTACAGTCTCTTCAAGTTTTAAGATGTTTTATCATACTTGTAGAGGTGGCGGTAAAGTCGGAAAGAAAGCTGTCGAACAGAGCTACTCCTCTGTTCTTGGTGCACTTATTCTGCAATTTGGAAGTTGCCATGTTCTAGCTAGTTCTGGTCAGCATGAACCATTACGGTAACTTGCTACTACACTATTCTTTATATCTCTGAAAAGACTTCTTTAAGTGATATTTGTATCTAAGGTTCAGAAAATATATGATCTTTCTATCTTTGCAGTGCTCTTCTGACTGCATTTCATGCCTTCTGTGAATGTGTTGGTGACTTTGAAATGGGAAAGGTACTCCATTCTCCTACCTTTTCATCTGCCAGTAAACTAAGAATGACTTAAAAGTTAATCAACAATATGGAAGTTAAAATATAGTTTAAATATTATCTCCAGATTTTGGCTAGAGATGGTGAGCAAAATGAAAAGGAGAAGTGGATTTATCTTATTGGAGATATAGCTGGCTGCATTTCTATAAAGAGACCAAAAGAGGTAATGTTCTCTGCTTGTATATGACATGTCTCGAGGGTGATTGATGGAATACTGGAAAAGACAATACATATCTCAAAGGACGAGCAAACTGTAGACTTGCAATTTCTCCCATAAAATGTGTGGATATTATGGGATAGACTTTGTTTCAAACACGAGATATTAATCACACTGGAACTTTGTTATGGCATTGTCACCCAAATCATGTCCATGATTGTTGGATCATTGCAAATCTACTTTGGTATTCTAGTTTATTTTTGCAGGTATATTTGAAATGGCATCAAAGCATTGACTCTTGGTAAACTTGTACAGGTTCAGAACATATGTCTGATTTTCACTAAATCATTAGACCGTCAACAAAAGTTTCAGAGGGAAGCTGCAGCCGCTGCATTGTCAGAGTTTGTCCATTATAGGTATGAGCCTCTTGACCTACCTTCATGATATCTTCTTAGTGTTGTATAACCCTTGACTTCCATTAATATTGGTATGGCTGTACAGTGCAGTCAACGAAGAATACCTCAGAAGTATTGTTTAGAATCTGTTATTCTGTATAAATGCTATTATGTCTTAAGGTTAGGTACGTTTTGATGAATTGAATGAGAGATTTCCCATCTATCATTTCTCTCTGGTTCTCTCTCCATTTCTTCTAGGTCTCATCCCTTTCTCAGTCTCCATTCTCTTCCTCCTAAATTCCTCTGTTTGCCCATCTCTTTCTGTTTCTCTCTATTTCTCTTCTATACTCTTCCGTTTCTCCTTTACTACACACCCCTCATCATCTTTATTGCTGTTCCTAATATTAAATCTTATCTGCTGTTCTCAATCATGCAGTAGTGGGTTTAGCTCCCTATTGGAAGAGATGGTGGAAGTGTTGTGCCGACATGTCTCAGATGAATCTCCAACGGTTAGAAGCCTTTGTCTTAGAGGATTAGTAAAGGTATGAAATAGTATTTCAGAAATACTCATTATATAGCGAGTACCAGTTGCCACCAATTTATATTTAAGATATAAATTTAAGATTTGGTTATGTTGTTTGTATGTTTGTATAATTTATCTTTCTTTATACTTTATACTTTTAGAAAACATGACTTTTCTTGAACCATAATCTTGGCAGATATCATCTGTTCATATCTATCAGTACACAACTCAAGTTCTGGGTGTGATATTAGCGTTGCTTGATGATACGGATGAATCAGTGCAATTAACTGCAGTTTCATGCTTATTGATGGTGATCTCCATTCCCTTTCTTCTTATGTGTGTCTGCATGTGCTTATGTACCCATAATTCTTTCCTATTTATTCTTCTAATTTTATAATTTTATCTATTTGTTCAATGTGCTCCCCACCCTCCATTTATAATTAAATTTTATCTGTTATAGATTCTTGAGTCATCACCCAATGATGCTGTTGAACCTATTCTGCTTAATTTGTCTGTCCGACTTCGCAATCTTCAGGTGTGTGCCTCTTTAAGATGTCAAAAGAGCCTCAATCGTTAATGTTTATTGTAAATTGTGTATGGAAAACGACAAAAAATTATATTTCTTTATCTACTTTTGAGATAATCTAACATGGAGCATGAGCTGTTAACATTAAAATGAACTTTTAAGGCTGCATGAACGCTTATGGTATTGTGTTTTTGTTTTACCTTTCCTTCATGGACACAGCTGGCTTGCCTTGGAGATGAGTATCAAGCCAAAGTTCACGTTAAATGCTTTATCCCCAAGCCAGAACAATTCTCATCACACCTCCCCAACACCCCCCCCCCCCCCCCAAAAAAAAAAAAAAAAAAAATCCCACACAGAAAACCAGGCCCTGAAGATTGGGAAATACCTTTTTCCTTTTTTGTAAATTTGAAATAAAAATATTTATTATAAAATGATCTGACTAAAAAATAAAGCCCCACAATCATAAGCTGATGTCACTGTTCTGCCAACAACTAGCAAACACAGAAATTTTCACAAATACTTTTTGTCATTATTCTAGGTACTTTTGATTTGATGATTGATTTTTCTTTTTATTGATCTCTTTATTGTCAAAAACCACATGCCAGATATGCATGCTCCTGTTGTTAATTTGCTCTTGGTCTAAGACTGCATCTAATACTGTGGCGAGTAGGTTAATGTAACAACTTTTTAGAACAGATATCCATGAATGCAAAGATGCGGGCTGATGCTTTTGCAGCATTTGGAGCACTAAGCAACTTTGGAGGTGGCGCTCTGAGGGAGGCATTTCTGGAGCAGGTACTAAGTGGCTGATTTATATGTTAACTAAGCAACTGGAATTATGAAGATAAATTGCAGCTTACCCTCTTCAGTTGAATACTTCTTGGTAGATTTAGTAATCACAATCTAATTGCTACCTGCATGAGTGAAATACCAGTTATTTGTTTGAAATGGCTTTGTTGATTATTTGGGAAATTAAGTGGGTTGCAATCATCAAGGATAATTATAGTTGAGATTTGATGTTGGCATGGGGACACACTATTAATATACTCTTTATATAGAATTTGTTTGTCAATTGCTTGATACATTTGTTATGTACTAAACAATGCTTCATGGTTTTGACATTTTCATTTTTTGACCTGCTTTTACTTCTGGTATGTTGAAGATGAAGTAGAGAATTGATGTTTCTTTTTCAATGTCAAATCTCATGAAGCTAATCAAACATTTATATTACTCTTTTCAGATACATGCTACACTCTCACGATTGATCCTACACCTTTATGATGATGACACTGGTGTTCGTCACGCTTGCAGGGTCAATGATATTGCCTTTTTTTTTTTTTGGATTAGCAAGTGATACTGCCTTTTTGACTTTCCTCTCTGCAATGATGCTTATAGAAGTATTTCTGACTTATCATGTAGAGTACTTTCAAACGGGTTTTTCCCTTATTCGAAATTCAAGGATTACCTGCCTTGTTCAGCTCACACTGTATCAACTCTGACCATCGGTATGTAAAGAATTTTGTATGGTAATCGCAGAAATTTTTTGAGGGAAACTATGGTTGGCTTTGCTGTTTCATTCTTAAAGGATATAACTTGCCTCCTCCAGAAGTGACTATGAGGACTTTGTAAGAGATCTCACAAGACACTTGCTGCAACATCTTCCTTCTAGAGTTGATACGTACATGGCAGCAACCATACAGGTGTGCATTATGCATTTGTGCTGATAAAACTGCTTGTTGGTTGATTATAATTAGTTCTTATGTAACAGGTGAAGTGATAGCAGTTAAAATTGAACGGAACTCTATCAACCCTTGCAGACATGATTTAATCTCAGTTTGCATTTCTTTGGTTTCTGGAAAATATAATGGTTCTGACTATAGCAGTTATAATCATTTAATATAAATTCATCTATTGATGCTCAATTCAGACTTGTGTCAGATTCAGACCAGTGGAAGCCAGGAACACATTTTATACAGTTCTTCTTCATGCATCTGTTTCATTTTTGTTAAATTTCTAGCATAATGAACGTTTCAAAATTTGAGTTGCAAATTCTGGATAATGCAGGCTTTCGATGCTCCTTGGCCAATAATCCAAGCAAATGCTATCTACTTTTCTAGCAGCATACTCTCTCTTTCAGATGATCATCATGTTTTGGGTCTTTACTATACACAGGTAATTCTCTGACATCCTTGTATCAATTCCATTATCATAGTTTAAAATTAACATAATTCACAAAAAAATATCGTACCTTAGGTGTTTGGAGTGTTGGTTAGCAAGATGAGTCGATCAGCAGAGGCAGTTGTCAGGGCAGCGTGCTCTTCCGCATTGGGATTGTTACTCAAATCAACCAATTCCCTTTTATGGCGAGCAGCTCGACTTGAACGATTGGAGTCGAGCAGCAGAAGGGGCTTTGACCCTGAATCTGCAAAGAAGTAGCACTTCCAACGGAAAGGAACATGGTTGTGCTGATCATAGTGCTATGACCCTTGGCCAGTTCTTAGATGTAAACTCGCAGAATAGGCCTACCGCCTACACGGAAGGGTCAAGTTTTACAAGTTTGTAATGAAATGTATTTGCGAAATCACCGTGGTGATTTCTGTTCCCCAAGGTGTGAAAGGTAATGAATTCGCGTTCTTGAAAGCAATTTGGATTCCGAAAAACTGCAATGACCTTGAGCATGTCCAATTTTCAAGGTGAGTGTGTCTGCACACATTTTGTATTTTTGTAAAATTTGTAATAAAATCATTGTAAAAATGAACATTATAACCATAAAGATCGATGATGCAGTCTGTAGTCTCCGCATAAAATGAAGGTTATTATTATTTGGCCCACAAATTGAAGTGTTCTTTACAAGACAAGGGACATTAATATTATTATTTAAAAAAAGAAAAGATTTAGTAGTGTATATGGAAAAGGGAATTCTATTTTATGGTTTAAATTACCCAATTTTTTTTCTTATTTAAAGTCTCATTGCTTTGCCATGGGATCTTTCTTTCTTTCTTTCTTTCTTGTTTTTTCCCTTTTTATAGAGATAGTATGATAGAAAACCATCTCTTTCTATCTTTTTAAAGTTCAACTTTTTTACCCTATAATTATAATTTTTTCAGAGATTTTTATTGATTCGAGGAGGATGGTGGAAATTTTACGGACAGCCAGAAAGTGACCATAGTTCTAATCTTCAAAACTCATTATTTCTTTGAACAGAATTACAGAAGTATTAACGAGTATTACACAGCGCCTTACTATTCATTACAAACTCAGTTATGAGGCCTGGAACCGACTGAACTCATCATCCTTAATGGCCCCCACCCTTACCCCGTGAGTTACTTTATTCCCATCCCTTCTCCCATACTGCAGGCTGCATGATGCATTATGTGAAGCCGGTCATCAACTCGTGACGATCCAGAAACATCTCTCCCCATGGTACGATCAAAGCAAGTTGCCCATCGTTTTTCTCAATGTTCCATCATCATTTAGTGGAGTCTCCAATCTTTTCCTTAGAGTTCGTTGAGCTGTCCCATAGTTTAGTCCTTTGTAATGTATAAATGTCTTAAACAATTAATTTCAATGCATAGCATTCAAAACATGCAACGTTAAACAAAAAAGAAACGACAAACATCGTACATACTAAAATCTCCCACTGAAAAAATAAGATCATCAGTTTTTCTCCATCACCCAATTTCTCATGGCTTCCAACCTGAATCAACTCCATTTTGTTTTGATCCCATTGATGTCCCCAGGCCACCTTATACCCATGGTAGACTTGGCTAAGCTGCTAGCAAAACACGGTGTGGTTGTTTCCATTGTCACCACCCCCGGAAACACAGTCAGGTTCAAGCCAACCATTGATCGTGCCGCAGAATCAGGTCTCATGATCAGAATTCTCCAGCTCCGGTTCCCGGCAGTGGAGACTGGATTACCGGAGGGATGTGAAAACATTGACCAGCTTCCCTCACGGTCCATGATGAAGAACTACTTCAATGCTGTCAGCATGCTACAAGAGCCATTCGAGCAGCTGTTTGATAAGCTACAGCCCCGTCCCTCCTGCATAATCACTGGGAAGAATCAGCCCTGGACGGTGAAAACTGCTCTCAAGTTTAAGATTCCAAGGATTTTCTTCGACGGAGTGGGCTGCTTTGCCTTCTCTTGCACCTATAATCTTGAGGTCTCTAAGGTGCACGAAACTGTCTCCAGCAAGTTTGAGCCCTTTCTGGTACCCGGTTTGCCTCATCGGATAGAATTAACCAGAGCCCAGTTGCCGGAAAACCTTAACCCCGGCGCAACAGATTTAACCTCCGTTCGTGATAACATCAGAGCAGCAGAACAAGAATCAGATGGGATCATCGTTAATACTTTTGAAGAACTAGAAACAGAGTACATCAAAGAATATAAAAGAGTCAAAGGAGGAAACATCTGGTGCATCGGCCCTGTTTCAGGTTGCAACGAATTGAATTCAGATAAGGCCGAAAGAGGTCAGAAAACCTCAATTGATGAGACCCGGTGCTTGAAATGGCTCGATTCAAAGGAACCCGCGTCCGTTGTTTACGCCTGCCTCGGAAGCATATGCGGCCTCACGACGAACCAACTCGCGGAGCTTGGTCTTGGAATCGAAGCATCGAGCTATCCGTTCATTTGGGTAATCAGAGAAGGAAACAAAAACTCGGATGGATTGGAGAAATGGATTTCCGAAGAAGGGTTCGAACAGAGGATCGAAGACAGAGGACTTATAATACGAGGTTGGGCGCCGCAGGTTTTGATCCTGTCTCATCCTGCTGTTGGCGCGTTTTTGACGCACTGCGGCTGGAACTCGACGGTGGAAGGGTTGTGCGCCGGAGTGCCGATGATAGCATGCCCCCTGTTCGCCGAGCAGTTCTATAACGAGAAGCTGGTGGTGGAGGTGTTGGGGATAGGGGCGAGTGTGGGAGTGGAGGCGGCGGTGATATGGGGATTGGAGGAGAAGGCTGGGTTAGTGATGAAGAGGGAGCAAGTAAAGAGAGCTGTGGAGGAGGTGATGGGGAGAGATGAAGAAGCAGAGGAAAGAAGAAGGAGGGTAAGGGAATGGGGGGAGATGGCAAAGAGGGCTATTGAGGAAGGTGGATCTTCTTACAAAAACATGGAAATGATGATCAAATATGTTCTGCAAAAATCTAGTGAACTACATTAATTGATGAACAAAGATCTATAAAACGCTTATCAAATTCATCACAAAAAGCAAAAAGCAAAAAAAAAAAAAGTAGGAATCGGTTTCCCACAATTTTTTTTTTTTTTTTTGATGAAATGTTAATTTATTCATCCAATAGCAAAGAGACAACGCCTATCTATGCATGGGGCAGTTAGCAAGTACTAATGGAATTAGTCGGATCAAAAGTCCGAAGTCCCCATTATGATGCAATACTAGCATTGTTGAAAGCTGTTGGAGCTATGGCATGAAAGCTGAAAATGCAGTGAAATGAGATCTGCTAAATGATGCTGCAACTTGACTGTACAGTAGCAGCAAAGTGACAGCAGCATGGAGCTTCACATGGGCTACAAGAAATGGCAGCAAACTTCATCATTTTAGTCAATGTTTTACATGTAGCCTTCCTCTGTAAAAAGGAACTAAGAAATTGAATAAAAATTGAGAGAAAGAGAAAGCATGGTTTCTTCTCTTCGGTTGGGTGAATATCTGCACCCTTCCATGTTTATGGCTTCATGTTCTATGTTATGTTGTATTGTTTCTGCTTTAAATAACAGAATATCAATGGAAGAAAATGGGTTCTGACCTCACTAAAAGAGAGAACTACTGGTGTTTCTCCTTCTCCTCCAAGTGCTCTCTCAATCCTCCTTTTTTACCACCAAAAATCCAACAAAAGCATAAATTTTAGCGTGAGGCATTGCTAGGAGCAGGAGAAACCAAATACCCTTCATAATTTTGGAAAAAGAATATGATGTTTCTATTTATGAGATATGCCTTGATCATAGTAATGTACATAATGAATCAAGAGGCAACCCTTTTCTGTCCTTTACTGATCTTTTGTTTCATATTCATCTGAAGAGGATTGTAGCTAAGTTTTTAAGTAATTGACAAACAATTTTATTCTTACATAATGCCAAAAAAAAAAAAAAAAAGGAGATATGTTCAAATCTGGCACCTCTTGTGATGTGTGGACGCTAATTCATGCGAGACAGATTCGATTTGTTTCCAGAGATATAAAAATCAGGAAACTATGAAGAGGAAACGAAAGAGAACTATAATCATCCACCAAAACAAGCATGAAAATGCAAACCACAGGTCCAGTTCCTGGACCATGGTGCTCAATCCTAGTTTATTTATTTAGAAGGAAGTACCACAAAAATTGCTCTGTGGCGCTTGACAGGAGTCCCCACTGACAACACAGACATTTCCAACAAGACTAGGGCTGCAGCCCACGCAAGGAAAAAAACTCTTCTATCTCAAATTGTCAACCTGTGGGCTTGAACTAAATTTAGAGGATCCTTAACAATCTTTTCTTTGGGTCAGTTTTTCTTTGACATTATTATTAAGGTAGTGCCAAAGAAGTTCAAGTCAGTTTTCTTTGACCATTACCATTAATGTAGTGCTAAAGAAGTTTGAGTACTCAAATCAAGCTCTATTGGCAGCCAGAAAAAGCGTGTGGCCCTTTTTGTAAGTTCAGTCCTCAAGATAATCAGAGACTAACCTAACTGAAAAACCATTGTTTCTGATATAGTCTCTTACCTCAGCAACAAGGCATGACCTTTGCCTTTCTTATTTATAATAGGAGTTAAATTTCTCCCTACTGTGCAAGAAGAAGTTGAAAGCCCTCTTACCATCTGTACTACCTTAATGGGTTCTCTATCTGAGCAGCTTCATTTCGTTCTGTTTCCTTTTATGTCTCAGGGCCACTTAATTCCCATGACAGACATTGCTAGGCTTCTGGCGCAGCAAGGAGTCATCATCACCATTGTCACAACGCCTGTTAATGCAGCTCGAGTCAAGCCGATTCTCAGTCATGCCATACAATCAGGGCTTCCAATCCATTTGGCTGAAATCCCGTTTCCATGTGTAGAAACAGGAATACCAGAAGGGTGTGAGACTACTGACAAGCTGTTCTCAATTGAGTCTTATTGTAACTTTTTCAGAGCAATCAACATGCAACCTGAGCCAGTGGAGAAATTGTTCGAAGAGCTAAGACCAAGGCCTTGTTGCATCATTTCAGATTTCTGTCTGTATTACACAAGAAAAATTGCTACCAAGTTTCAGATCCCAAGGATTTCATTCCATGGATTTTGTGGCTTCTCCCTTGTTTGTGACCTCATTTTACGCTTCTCTGATGTACGTGAGAACAAGGCCTCTGAATCCGAGCACTTCACTGTTCCTGGCTTGCCTGAAAAGTTTGAATTTACCAAGGCTCAAATGCCGATTGTCACAGGAGAGTGGAAAGAATTTGATGAGCTAATGTCAGAGACTGACCTAGCAGCATATGGGGAAATTGTCAATACTTTTGAGGAGTTGGAGTCGGCATATGTTGAAGAATACAGGAAGAGAAGAGGAGGCAAAGTCTGGTGTGTTGGACCTGTTTCACTGTCACACAGGGATACTCTCCACAAGTCTCAGAGAGGTGGCAAGGCAGCCATTGATAAAGAAGAGTGCCTGAAGTGGCTTGACTCCCAAGAAAAGGGCTCTGTAGTCTATGTTTGCCTTGGCAGCATCTGTAATCTGATTTCTTCTCAATTAATAGAGCTTGGTTTGGGCATAGAGGCATCAAACAGGCCATTTATCTGGGTTCTTAGAGAAAGTGACAAATTAAAAGATTTACATAAGTGGATTGAGGAGGAAGGGTTTGAGGAAAGGATTAAAGGCAGGGGCCTTGTCATCCGGGGTTGGGCTCCACAACTGCTGATACTATCTCATCCTGCAGTTGGAGGGTTCCTAACTCATTGTGGCTGGAATTCAGCTCTGGAAGGTATTTGCTCCGGTCTACCACTGATAACATGGCCCCTTTTCGGGGACCAGTTCTGCAATGAGAAGCTGGTAGTGCAAATCGCTAAAACTGGTGTCAGGAGTGGAGTGGAGCAACCAATGGTGATTGGGCAGGAAGAGGAGATTGGGGTGTTGGTAAAGAAGGAAGATGTTAAAAATGCTATAGAACAGTTAATGGATGGAGGCAAGGAAGCTGAAGAGAGAAGAAAAAGAGCCAGAGAACTTGCTCAGATGGCAAAGAAGGCTATTGAGGTCGGGGGATCTTCTCACCGGCACATCACACAGTTGATCCAAGATATCATGCAACAATCTCTTGTAAAGGACCTTCGTAGTACCTGAGGGAGATACACAGAAGCAAAAAGAGGCACTTTCTCCGTCCCAAAGTTTCAAACTTCTTTCAACAATCATGATTATAGGGTGTTCTCCTCATTCCAGCTATAAAATCTGCTGCTTATAATTTTGTTTCAACATTAAAATGCACCATTCAAACTGCATATGTGAAAAAGGTTCCCTTTCGAAGCTTAAATTTGAACTCATTTTTAACTCTTCAAGTTCATGTTGCTTCTATCTCCTTACTCCCTATACTTTAACAATTGTTGTAAAATCTGGTTATTCTGAGACATGAACCTATCTAATACAGTAATAGGCTTTTTTTATGGCAAAAAAATAAGGGAGAAACTGAAATGAATACAAAGTTTTACGTTCAAAAAGGAACAAGGCGTCCAGTTAGAGTAAGATGACTTGAATCACTTTGATCTGGATCGGTATCTTTTCAATTTGGACACAATTTTTCATGATCGTCCATAACACAAAGCAGCTCCAAAAATGAACTGGAGGACCTCAGACTCAAAAAATGTCAGAAGTGGCTCCTATTTTTTGAAGATAATGCACTTTAAACCATTTTCATTATATTTGTCTTTAAATAGCTTTAGCAGTTTTCATCCTAGATTCCACAATTTAGAAAGACATGGCTTATCCATTTTCTATTCTGTACTTTGGTATTTAATAATTGGCCTAACATCTAAATATAAGCATGATTGTCAGAGAAATGAAGTATTCTACTTGACTTTTTCCACTGCTAATGTAGGTTCAAAATCTTTGATTGAAGATGCAGCAATCGATCATTTCGCAAGTCTGGTCCATTATTTTCTTTTGATTGCTCTGGCTCCTTTTTTCTCAATTGAATAAGAACACTAATCCTGATAATGCAATCTTCGAGAAAGAAATATGAAGAAAGATGAACTCTTCAATGTGAAATAGAGTATAAGTGAATAAAAACCACCCACCAAGATCCTTGGCTTTCTAAACCACATCCAGGATTAAAATTTAAAGCATAAAAAAAAAAATAGACTGCCATTTTTCCCATTTCTCTTTTACCTATCTGATCATCAGCTTACCATCTTCTCATTTACATAATGCCAAAGAAGTTTATGGGCACAATTCAAGTTCTATGGCCGGCCACATCTGTGGTCCCTTTAGTGCTTGGCTGCACCTTCCTTGTAACGTTGAAATACGCATTCTTATTTCCATCCAACACCGAAGGGCAGGAAAGAAATGATAGGAGACAGAAAATAAGAAGGCAGCATGGTGCACAAATTCTATTCTTTCTGTAGTCGCCACACCAATACACCATGCCATTCACAGAAAAACCAATATTTTTTTGTGTAGGCTCCTATATCAGCAGCAATGTAATGTACCAGAGTTAATTTAGCATTTCTTATATATTACAGAAGTTGAAGGGCTTTCTACTTAAGCCACTTATCTCTTCCATCCACATCATATCACCATGGGTTCTCTAATTGAGCAGCCTTACTTTATCCTGTTTCCTTTCATGGCTCCAGGCCACATGAACCCCATGGTAGACATTGGCATGTTGTTGGCTCAGCATGGTATGATGATTACCATAGTTACATCACCCTATAATGCAGTTCGATTTGAAAAGATACTTTCTCGTGCCACAGAATCTGGGCTCCCTATTCAGGTGGTGAGGCTTCCAGTTCCCTGCATTGAAGTGGGATTACCAGAAGGTTCTGAGAATCTGGATATGCTGTCTTCTCTGGACTTATTCTTGAAGTTCATCAGGGCAATTGATATGCTGCAAGAACCAGTTCAGAAATTGCTCGAGGAGCTAACACCACGGCCCAGCTGCCTTATTTCTGACATGTGTTTTGTATTACAATAGCAAGATTGCTTCTAAGTTGCAGATTCCAAGGATTTCATTCCATCGATTTCGCTGATTTTGTCTTGTTTGTCAGCACAAGATACACTCCTCAAAAGTTCTTGAGGCCTTAACCTCAGACTCTGAGTCCTTAACCTCAGACTCTGAGTACTTCACTGTCCCTGGCTTGCCTGACAAGGTTGAATTCAGGAAAGCTCGAGTACCAGCTCCCTATCACCAGGAGAGTGGAAGAAATTTCATGAGGAAATAACGGAGGCTGACCTGTCATCATATGGGGTTGTTGTGAACACTTTTGAAGAGTTGGAGCCAATCTGTGTTGAAGAATACAAGAAGATAAGAGGAGGCAAAGTCTGGTGCATTGGTCCTTTTTTGTTGGAGCTATGGCATGAAAGCTAAAAATGCACTGAAATGAGAGCTGTTAAATGATGCTGCAACATGACTGCACAGTAGCTGCAAAGTGACGGCAGCATGGAGCTGCACATGGGCTACAAGAAATGGCGGCAAACTTCAGCATTTTAGTCAATGTTTTAGGTAGTTAATAGTTATTGTATTAGGTAGAAAAATATTATTGTTTTATGTGTAGCCTTTCTCTATAAAAAGGAAGGAAGAAATTGAATGAAAATTGAAAAAGAGAAAGCATGGTTTCTCCTCTGCCGTTTGGGTGAAAGTCTGCGCCCTTCCATGTTTATGACATTATGTTCTATGTCATGTTCTAAGTTCTACTCTTCTCCTACTCTCCTCCAAGTCCTCTCTCAATCCTTTCTTCTTACCACCCAAAATCTATCATATTTCACTGTTCCACAGAGACGCCATTGACAAGGCTCAAAGAGGTGGGAAGGCCTCAATTGATGAACGTCAATGCCTGAAGTGGCTCGATTCTCAAGAACCATGTTCTGTGATCTATTGTTGCATTGGCAGCCTCTGTAATCCGCTGACTCTTCAACTAAAAGAGCTTGGTTTAGGATTGGAGGCATCAAACAGACCATTGATTTAGGTTCTAAGAGGAAATGACAAATCAGAAGAAGTAGAGAAATGGATTTTAGAGGATGGATTTGAAGAAAGGGCTAAAGGCAGGGGCCCTTTGTTTAGGTGATGGGCTCCCCAATTACTAATACTGTCCCACCCTGCGATTGGAAGTTTTCTAACTTATTGTGGATGGAATTCAACATTGGAAGGAATTTGTTCTGGTGTTCCACTAAAACTTGGCCTTTGTTGGGAGATCAGTTTTGCAATGAGAAGCTAGTAGTGCAAATACTTTAAATTGGTGTCAGGATTGGAGTGGAGTTCCCTACAAGATGGGGGGAGGAAGAGAAGGTCGAGCGTTAGTGAGGAATCAAGACGTTAAAAACGCCATAGAGAGGCTGATGGATGATGGAGATGAAGGAGAGGAGAAGAAAAAGAGCCAAAGAACTCAGAGAGATGGCAATGAAGGCTGCTGAAGAGGGAGGATCTTCTCACCTTAACCTTACAAAGTTTATCCAAGATATCATGCATCTAACTAATGGTAGACACTAACATCAAAAATGAGGGGGTGACAGAATTGAAAGAGGCATGAAGCCACCAACCATATTTGAAGGTTTGCATTTTCCATTCCACCAACCATGACTGTTTATACTAGTACATTGGGAAGATGTAGTAACCATAGAACAAACTACCGGTTGATTATGTTCATACTATTTTTTTTTTCAGAAACTAGAATTTATCTAATTCATTCAATTAAAAAATTAAAAATATATATTAAGGCACAAAAAGAAGATTACTCTGAGAAGATAATTTAGGTTACAGGCACAGCACATGAGCAGAAAAGTTTCTTTAATTCTGCTGCACAAGTCACACAAAAATATGTCAACAAATTATTAATATTAGCAAACACCACTTTGAAAGAAAAACTTTCAATTGATTGTGTCTTTTCTAATCGAATCCCATCCCAGGCCCCAAACGTGCTCTCAAAGAAAATTCAGAAAATTGAAAGAATTGACACTGATCTTTCCACAAGCAGCATCTTGGACTTTTATTCCAGACGTTTTGGTTACGTCCACTGAATTTCCACATCCAGAGCATTTGATCTAAATTTCGACCTATAACGTTTAAATCGAGTCACAGAGGGACCGACATTGGAAAATTCAATTCAAAAAGAAGTTCAACCAATGCATGTGCTTAGACAGGAACTCGAAATAGCGACATAACGTGTCCATTAGCTCTTACGTCCAAGTGAGGGATGGTGAAGGGTCTCCGCCGAGGCCTCATCTCTTTTCTCATTCTAGTTAATGATGAATATAAGAATCTTAGCAGGAATTTTTAATAAAGGATAAAAATTGCCTTCTGTTCCCATTTTTATGGAGAATGGTAATATTTTTAATACTAAAGTATCTTAAATTTTGTTTTCTCTTGTCATAAAATGATTAATAATTATACAATCACTGCAAATTATAACTTTAAAAGAAAGAATTGACTTTGATTAAGACTTAGTGGAAGACTACATCAAAAAAGGAGCCATGAAAACTAGCCTTAGAACAGCGGGGACAAGGGGATGGCTCGTAGCTTTCATTGACTCAGTCGCTTCTTCTTCCTTTCCGCGTTTTGCATACGGAAAAGTTTCTTTCTCAACCAAGATTCCTATCTAATCTCCTTTTTTTTTTTTTAGCATGATTTTTAATTTAGTCATTATCTTTTTAAACTTATAAATTTAGTCGTTAACTTTAATTTTAACATGTTGTCATTCATCACCCTCTGTTATCTCTCACAAAATTCATTAAATGATGACATGGCATTTAATAAAACAACATTACAATTTAGTTTCTAATAAATAAATAAATAGCTAATAAAGAAAAAATAGTAAATTTCGGAGCATTGCTTTAATATATATTTTAATTCTTAAAAATTTTAAGATCATATGGAGTTGAGAACCAAATTAATTAAAATCTATAAAGGTTAGTTATGAAGAGAAATAGAAAGAAACAGTTAGAAACGAAATATATAAAAAAATTAATTATAAATTTATTGTTAGATTTATGTAATCGAGTTAAGTTTATACATCTTTATTATTATTTTTATTTTAAATCTTTGACATATATAAAAAAATTAAAAAAAAAAAGATTCTATTATTAGTATGCTACCAATTTGTTGGACAATGGCTAGAAACTAATTTATTTGTTGATTTCTAAGTATAAGAGGATCATATGATATTAGTTGATTTTTTTTTTTTGCCATCTATTATTTTTTGTAGCATGTAATTTCGTTTCACTAATTGCCACATCATCACCCATGTCATCATTTAATAGAATTTGTTAGAGATAATGGAAGGTGAAGAACGGCGATATGTTAAAAAAAGGTTTATGACTAAGTTTCCAAATTTAGAAAGATAATAACTAAATAAAAAATTATGATAAAAATGAGTAACTTCTTGTGTAGTTTTACTCTTCTTTAGATTTAATTAGAATGAATGAAACGCCCTTGTAGACGACAAAAGAAAGAGGAAATAAAAAAGTAACGAGGGATTTTTCTTTCTGTTGAATTTCACACCATAACATAACAACCACGTCTACATGCCATGTTATGGTGTAAGGATTGGGGCAAGGAATGTACTTCAACAATATTAAGTGCCAAAAAACAATTCCAAAGATAAAAAGGTTTAATTTCAAATAAAAAATTTTAACTTTGGAAAATTAAGTAAAAAATATTCAACATTTATTCTTTTGCCACTATTTTAGATATAAAATGTATTTTATAGATCGTTCGTTAAATTTTTCTTTTTGAA